CCCCCAAAACCCCAAAACCCCATCATTATCCCATTATGATAAGAAAGCGTTAAAGAAATTTGAATTAGAACTTTCAAGGACTGTTTTTAGTACTTTATTTAATATTTCTTGATTGAATGTTAGTAATAAATAAAATTTCTATTCTAATATGAAAAGCTTGACTACCGTTGCATTCCTTCTCCTCGTTTCAGGATCCATTGCCCAAAGCACCACCACTGCAGTTCCAACTAACTGTGTCAATGACAAGACAGATACCTTCTGTAACACCGGAGGTCTCTCAGGATACTGTTGCGCCCAGATCGTCACATCAGTTAAGGCCACCGCTGCTGGTACTCCAGTCAATACCACTTATTTCCAATGCATCCCAGCAGAGCTTGGAAAATTCGCCTCAACTGTTACCCTCAGCGCCCTTCAAACCTCAACATACTAATGCGTTAGCACCAGTGTTGCTGACCCAGCTACATGCTCATCAAATGACGATTGTGACGCTGGAACATGCTGCGCTTCAAGAAATGCTTCATACGCCATCTCAACTGGTACCAACTTCGCTGTCACTGGAACTGCAAAGGTTTGCACTACCCAAAATTCTAACGCTACTCTTGCCACTCAATCATACACATGGACCTTCAGAAACACTACTGGTGCAGGTAACTACCCAACTTCAACCCTCATCAAACAATGCGCTGCTCAGAACATGAAGACCAGTGGAGTTTTCCTAAGAGTTTCAGCTGTCATCCTCGCTCTTATTGCAGTTGCATTCTATTGATTACATATTAAGCATATATAATAACTTTATTCAAACTCTAATGTTCAAATTTATGTCTTTTCGAGGCTGTTTTCAAGCCTTTTGCCTCGCTCTCCACCGCTGGGGGGTTTCGCTCTGTATCTTAGTGTGGCATTTCGTTACATTACCCTTTTATTTCTTTTAATCAAAACAATCAGACTCTCTAATAAATTCATATCCTGATCTCTTCTGAATTTTTATCTCCTACTTTTTGAATTTTAGCTATACGGGGTTTTGGGGTTTTGGGGTTTTGGGGTTTTGGGGTTTTGGGGTTTTGGG